GAGAAAGCCCGCCAGTCACAGGAGCAGGTGGATGACCTCGGTCGAGAACTTCGATACTCGCAACAAGTAGTTGCCGGGGAATTAGCCGGGTGGCAAGACCTGCACGAGAAGATGGGGCGACGAGCGATCAAGGAATTCGCCAAAGGCATGGTGATCCAGGAGCGACTCCGGCTAGACGGGATGATGAGGACACTCCGGAGGCTGCGGGAAGGGAAAGCGGATCTCGAGGCGGCATTGGCAAACGTTTCAGGGCGGTCGAGTATGAGTCAATCGACGCACGAGGGGACGAGGAGAGATGCAGGTGAGGGAGCCAGCAGTGGGAGCACGAGAACGGGCGACGTGGTGGCGAATGGTGCGGGATACTAGAGGCTAGAGGCCTAGGTAGCCCTGGTTTCGTTTTGGATGGGGCGACGACGTCGACGGCCGTCTGCCTTGGGATGGCTTGGTGTGGACGTCGCTTTTCTTTGCCCTTCAACACCAAGGACCGACGCGTTGTATGCGCAAGTTGGACGCGTCTGGGGACCAGCGGTGGCTGTGAGTGGATAGGTGGTTGTGGCGTGGGGCGGATGATCCGTCCAAGTCAAGCAGCGGATGACTGCAGCTGACGGAGAAGGGTTGGTGGGTGGTGTCAAGTCTGGGATGCCGCAGACCACATCACCTGCATGGAAACACACACACAACTTGGTCGTTGAAACGTTGAAACATTTTCTCTTGTGGTCACCGTCCTGCTCTCTCACACTTCCTACTTCTTCTCAAACCCTTTACCTTTCTTGATTGTCCTTTTGTGTAGCAAGGTAGAGGGACAGAGAGAGACACTTGTCTTCTTCCTTTTTTTCGTTTCATTTGACGGATACCCTTCTGGCGTCCTCGGCGTGGGCGTAAAGATAGACGGGGGGATTTGACTTTGAATGACTTGTTTTTTTTTCCAGGGTCCCCTCCTCCACTTGAGAGCTGGGGCAAGGGACAACAGATAGACAATGGATACATGAGGATACCTACCTTCATAAGGTACACCGCAAGGTTCAAACTGGATGAAATGATTCAGAGGTTTATGCTTGGGTAGTGGTGTTGGTAATGAAGTGACGTCGATTTGGTGACGCCCATTTGCAGGGAGACAATGTAGAGTGTGAGGTGGTCATGCTAGGCCCCAGCCTCCCCAATTTTCCCGGGCATGCTCCGTGGAGCATTGGGGGAGGAAGATGCCCGCTCTGAAGTACACCGACCCGAACTGCCGGGGTATGTCGAAAAGGAAAAATTCAAAGTCCTCGCCAACATGTCCTTGTTGAAGCAGCAGAAAGATCGTCGTTGATGCGTTTTTCCTCATGGGAAAATGATCCACCGTCGATGGACAACGAGATGTGAGTCACCCTTCCCTGTACCGGTTCCAATGGCCAAGAGCAACCATCATGCACGGCAAGGCCAGGGGAGAGACAGGTATTCGAACTAGCAGAGCTGCCGAACCGGGGCGAGGCAAGCTAGTACGCAGTACCTTACGGGAGTAGAGAAGCACAAGGGAAAGAGTCCGAAAGAAGAACGACGACGGGAGGACCATTGGATCGAGAAACAAAAGAGCGGTCGTGAAACATCCCGGGAGGACGGCTAGGCCAATGAAGCGGTCGGGACACGGTTTGAGGGATCTCTGGGGACCCGATTGGATGCCGGACTGGACCGGGGTTTGGACACGGGCAGTGGAGTCGTGGACACCATCCCGAAGCGATGAACGGGCGACGGATGGATCTTCTGAAGTTCTGGCAGGTTGAACGGACCGTGGGCGTCGTGGACGGATCTACGGCGCGTCGAGATTGGGTGGTGCGCGCGCGTGGTTGGGAGCCAATGGGATTACGAGGCGGGGGGGAGGGACAAGAGGAGGGAGAAAACGGGCGATGGATGACAAAGGGTGGCACGGACCCGAGCAGGGACACCGCGTCTAAGAAAGGAAGGAGCACGGACTCTGCCTTACCTTCCCTTGGAAGGGGATGGAGCACGGGCCACGGGAGCGAAGCGGGAAGGAGGGAAGAGGTCAAGCGAAGGGCAGACTTTGGATGCTGACTGGATCTTGAGTGTGGCGCTTGGGGAAGAGGGGATGATGGGGATGAGGGGGGAATTCGAGAGAAGAGGTAGTATCAAGCGCTGGAGTGCGGCTGTGCAATTGTTGCGCAATGCTGTGTCTCCTGTTTTCTCATCTGGTGAGGAGTAGAGTCGTACTACATCGGCCGAGGGGGACGATAGCCGAGGGATGCTGTGCTTGAAGCGTTATGCGAATCATGGAGCAGAGCTGGGCAGGCGATTATTATGCCTGTCGCATCCTCGTCGCTTTCTACAATTCGACGATGAAGAAGGTTCGCGAAGTAGACTGAGGTTGGACCGCCTCAATAGGTTCACCGTTCAAGACGTACTACAGTGTATCAACGTTACAGATGGCGGTTGTGCTGCGAGGCTTAGACTGCCCGCTCACAACCTCACCGAGACATGCGCGGCTACGGCATCATGCGGACGGTAGCAGCAGGCTCTGATGGCCAGTTTCTAACCTGAGGACCAAACCCTCATTGTCATTGTCAGCAGGCCCGACCTCGGGGCCGTCGAGGCTGAGGGTCGGTCAGTCGTTCTCGTACCTTTGTGTGTGTAAGGTGAGGAGGTAAGGGGCTTCGTGTAAGAGAGTGAGACTGGTCATCAAGCAAGGCGGCTGCCTCTTCCTGGAGCCCAATATCGAGGCCCACCGGTTCCCGGATGATGCTGAGAGCGCTCAGCGAGATTGAGGATATGAGATTTGGCTGTAAGCGCCGTCCGGAATCGGGAGTGGAGTGTGGTGGTCGTCATTGCTAGCCGTAGCCGCCCGGGCGGTTAATGGGGAAGCGGAGGCTTTCTGAGCGAGCGGCTGTTTCGGGAAGAGTAACGTGGGGTTCGGCTGTTTCTTTTCTTGTACGGTGCCAATTTCCGCGCGCACCTTGACGCCGGATGGTAACACTGGGAGAGGGCCTCTCAGGCGAGAGAGGGCTTCTGTTGTCTTAGTGGGAGAGACAGCATGATGCGACAGCCGCCGGTAATCTCAGTTGCCGCTCGGCTCATCTGATTGCGAGAGGGTACCTCAGGGACCCGAAGCCTCAAGGTGCTCAGGTGAGCGAGGCTTAGGTGGTGGTACTTGACCCCGGAGGCCAGGTGGTGGAAATGAGGCGGTTGATGAACTGTATCCGTATACGAGAAAAGCTTGACTGAATAGGACTGTCGAAGCGGTGCAGACTGCGAGATGTGCTGGCATGGCTTTTGCGAGGAGTGTGGGCGACGAGTTGGGAATGCCCTCGCGGACGAGTCGCGATGAAGTCAATCAAGACGCGAAACCAGAGCGAGACCGAAAAGACGCATGGCATGGCATCGCATCGCATGTCACGACGACGCATGACATCGCGTCGAATGATCGTCGTACACCACACGACCGCGTCTACCTAGTGTAGGTACGCCTAGGAGGGTGAAAGAAAGTGGTGTTGATGTTTGTGTTGCGTTCGTCCCACTCCCGCCCGTTCTGCTGTGGGGGACGCTAGGAAGCAAAGCTAACAGAGTGGAGAAAAGATGAGCTAATGCACGGCCGAACCTGCCATGTGTCTAAAAATGAGTCATAGACGCTTTGCAGGGGGTGAGGAAGGTACGAAGGTGGAAACCCAGGGATTCAAGGAAAGAGCAGTTGATGCAAGACAGCTGTCGGGGACGGTGAGTGGTCAACAGCATCTTGTCAGTCTTGCTATACGTACCGTTTCGGATAACCGAATATACACTGTTTTGTGGTCAGCCGTAACGTGGCTTGGACAGTGCGCAAGTAAGCGAGCGACTCTTCCCGCAGGCTCCGCCTCCAAGGGGATCCACATTGAAAGATACGTACCCTTCAACGTTCTTGGAATGGAAGGCAGTGACGACCTCACCATCTCACCTTACCAACCCGGCCAAACTCAACGAACAGCTTCAAGTTCTTCTTCTGCATCTATGCGGCGCCAATGTACTTCCAAGTGGACTAACCTTCACACACTTTTGCCCCGTGTTTCAGATTTCTAGCTCTCTCAAGTTCTCAACGCCGTAGTGGGTCGACGACCTCACTTCTGCATTCCCAGTATGCAGCCCAAGATGCAGCATTTCATCGACGAGTCCACCCTTTTTTTCCCTTCCTTCTGCAGTAGCTCCAAGCTACCCTGTATCCTGTGTCCTTTTGTGTAGTGCCGGGGTCAGACGATAGACGACAGTCTTTCTCTCTTCCTCCACCTCAACATGGGATACGCACTACCTTACCGTAACTACGTAGTTGAGAATACGTATCCATCCATCTTTTTCATCAGTCGTCTGGTCTCGGCCCACGATCCGTCCAAGGGACCCTGGCATCTACAGACTACAAACCCTCAAGCCGGATGCGCGCAGCTCAACCCACAGTTGCGTTGTACCGCTGCTGCTCTACCCTCCCCCCCGTCAGTTGATGGGGCTAGAGACCCAGACTTGGGCCCGACGACCTACGGTCAGTCCAAGGCTGGGGCCGGGGCGAAGGCCACACGCCCTCGCTCCAGTCGGCCGTCAGTCGCGCGCCGCATCACCACCACCACATCCATTGGGCTACGAGCCTCAAACCCGAGGATAAAGATGTCCTCCCCTCCCGCGCCTACTGTCCCTTTCTGTTGGCCCCTTCTCTCTCCATCCTCATCTCGTCTCCTCATCTCCTCGTCTCCTTTGCGCTCTCGTCCTCTCATCCTCGTCTCAGTCTAAACTTGTTATCAAATCGACCATTGTTTATTTACTATAACTCGCATTATTTGGATACCAAAACACAAAAACTATACACCTAGATCTCTCGGAACGCCCTGGTCTCGTTGAACGCGGCCACCTCGTCCCTGCTTCACAGCAACCCCCGTCTGCTTTTCCCATCGCAACGCAATCCTCAAACGCCAAAAAGACTCCTGGAGCTGGCCTCCTCTCTCTCACGAAACACCTCTCATAATCCCATAATCCAACCAACTCACACAGTCACAATGTCCACGTATGAGATGCCCCCTGCTTCTCGCCTCACTTACACCCCCACTAACACATCATCTCCCAGTCTGGCAGCGGATATGTCCTTCGACTTCATCTTCCCCTCGTGCGAGCCTTCCACGCCGCCGAGCTTCTCCTTCGACTCTTCTCTCCTCGACCTCCCCTACCACCACAACCCAGGCCATAACCGCTCCCGCTCAAATGGTTCCGTCTACTCCTTCATCTCTACCGCAGACTCCACACCGGACTCGGTGAGCACACGTATGACTACCCCGTCTCGTGCCTCACCCCCGATCCGCCAACACGGCCCTCTCTTGCTTCCCAAGATCCGCTCCCAGGACCAAGCCATCGAGTCGCCTCCCAAGCGCATGAAGGCATCGCCGAAGCCCCGCGCCCCGGTTCCCAGACGGGCAACCCCTGTGGCCCCCACCACCAACGCCGTCTTCCGCCCGGCTCACACTCGCAGCTTCACCAACCCGGAGACCCTCATATGGAACATGCCCTCCACCTACTGCAGCCAGCCCGAGGAGCAGACTCCTTCGTCCCTTCTTTGCTCTCCCATCATCTTCGCCGATGACATGCAATCTCGCCGCGCATCAACCTGCAGTCTTGAGGGTGTCGCCCTCGAGAAGTTCGGCTTCCCGACCTACCGTCAGATGCCCTCATACGTTCCCTCTCCTGCTCCTCAGCAGCCATCAGAGGCATACATGTTCCCCTCCTACACTCCTCGTGCGCCATCTCCCCTCAGCCTGTCAGCCGCTGCCACTCCGGACCCGACTCCCAGCACCACTCTCATGACTTACCTCACCGGATCTAACCCTGCTCCTTCGCTGGTGCGCACCATCTCGTTCCCTCTCCGGGATCCCAACACCAAGCACTTCTGGTGGGACGTTCGCCAAATCCGTCCCTGGACAACCTTCAACGCCTCCTCCGTCCTCTCTCTCCCTGGTGCCGCCGCCCTTCTCAACTGCCCCGTCCCGGCACCTCTCCTCCCCAACCCGGCCCCGACTGCCCGCCACCCAGAGACCGAAGCCGCTCTTCACAGCATATACGCCTCCCACTACCTCCCCAAGCTCAATGCTGCGCTCGCCATCTCTTCCCACAGACCCATGCAGCTCTCTGCTCCCGCTCCCTCCGCCACCGCCAAGCAGCCCGAGCTGCTCTTCACCGCCTCTCCCGCCGGCGAGCCCGCCTCCGCTGCCACCATCTTTGGCGGCAAGCCTACCGCCCGCGTCGTCGGCCTCGTCCGCTCCTTTGACCGCTTCAACACCGGCATGCGCGTCGAGGGCAACATCAAGCGCGTAGAGTACCTCCGTGGCCTCGCCGCCCTGCACCACGCCATGCGCGAGCACTCATGCCGCTACGGCTTCATCCTCACAGAGATTGAGCTCGTCATCGTCCGCAACGGTAGCGAATCCGTCCCCCACTTTGGTCACCTTGAAGTTACCTCGGTTCAGCTTGCCGCCGTCGCTGACGATGCCGACTGCGAGGTCGGCGAGATCCCGCTGACTGCCTGCCTTGCGCTCTGGGGCCTCTGCATGATGGCTGGCGACGATGCGCCTCAGCAGCAGGGCCGCAGTGCCGTGGCGCACTGGAAGACGGAGATTGGCGCGCCTGCTGAGGGTACCCGACGCAAGGCGCTGCCTAGGGATGATTGGATGCCCAAGCCGCAGTTGGCCGAGAAGCGTGAGGCCAAGAGGGCTAGAGGCTGGGTCATGCCCGAGGACCCCGTCGGCAGGAAGGAATTGGGCAAGCGCGGTGTGCGGTACGGTGCTTGCTAAGTTATGTTTTCTGCTTTCTGCGCTTTTTGGAATTATTTGTTCGTCTGCTTTTATCTTGGCGTTTTGAAAAGAGTCGCTTGGGCTGGTTCCGGACACTCTTTTCGGTGGGTGGACATGGGTACATAAAAAATAATTGGGATGGGATATGACTGGGAATGGATCATGACTGGATGATGGGTAAACCATGGGACATGTATTTACGAGGATTTTGGTAGCTGAGACGAGGGACTTTCACGAGTTGCATGACGAGGCATTCTTTCTTAGCACAGATGCAAGTTGTTTAGATGACTTGCAATTACAACCATTTTCAAAATTCCACCTGTTTATTCAGACCTCTGCACTCAATCATTGCTCAGTGATCATGATAATGTGAAGTCCACCGGTGCCCGGGGGAAAAGTGACAGCAGCTCCAAATAGACTCTTCGAGTTCCGCGGGAGTCAAAAACCGTCCGCGCGGTATTCGAAGTTTCAGACGTTCTTTCTGTGCCGTAAACCTCAGCCAGTAAGCGCGCTTGACGAGGCCAGACTCTGGCGGAACAAGGATGAGGCTGGGATCGTGAACAAAGAAAAGGGGCCTCCCGTCCGCCCGGGCCAGCCCGAGATCGCTGGTTTGCTCATGCGAGTTTCAGGGAGGCGCTGCTTTATTTATCTTTGTCTACTCTATAATTACATTACTGTCCGCAGGAGTCTTTTTTCGTCTTTGATTGTCCCGTGTTCCCACTGTGATCAGGGGGCGGGTGAAGATAATACCTTATATCAACAACACTACTCAACTGACAAACTTGTCATCCATTCTTTGCTTTCCGAGACCACGTAACCACAACCTCATAATGAAAGGATTCGACCACAACAAATCACAGTAACTTCCAACCGCAAGAAAATATGAAGACCGCCGCGATCGTACTATGGAGCCTCATAGCTATGGCATTAGCCATCCCACTCGGTAAGCAAACCCCTACCGTCCCCTTCTCCTACACATCCCACCACAAAGTTCAAAATGTGACAAATGGAACTCGCGATCCATCACTGACGTGGGACACACAAAGACTCGTTGGCAGCAGACCCCGACGCCGAGATATGCCAGGCCTTCTGCGACGGCGCGTGCCCGGAAGGATGGACGAAGAAGGCAGACGACACGGGCGCTGGCGCGGCGCGGGCGTGTGCTTCGGGGGCGGGGGCGTGGTGTTGTCAGAGGTTTTTGCACTTCCCGCCGGCGTAGTCTGATCTACGTAGCAACGTTTGGCTCGGAGGTTCTGAGAGCTGGGCTGGTGTTTCCGGTACGACTTTGTGAGGAGTTTTGGGACCGTGGAAAAGTTCACGATGAAAGTGGCAATGACGTGGGGTTTTCTGTTGATACAGATACCTAGGAAGGGTATGAGATGACCAAATACCCTATCGCTGTACATATGGCAGCTATTTCAGCTGTTCTAGAGGGTCATATGACCATACTGAATTGGATGCAACCTCTGACATTCAACCCTCCAGCGACGAGCGTCCTCCTTGCGGCCCCGTCTCACTGACTTCACCCTTCATCAACCAGAACACCTCCACTTATCGCCTGTCCCGATTGAAAATCGTCCTGACCCCCGTGACAGCAACCCATCCGATGACGACAACAGTAACAGCCAACCGAATCTCCCTGACGATGTCCACGGCAGCGGGCCCGAAGTGAATGGCGTGGATGTGGTTTATCGCGCCCGAGTGCGCTGCTGAGAGGCCGAACTGTTCCATCTTGTCTTTCGTCAGCTCGTCGCGGTATGAATCGAGCTGTGCGAGATGGCGCGAGAAGCTTACGGTTTTGATGGTGAGGTTGAATGGTGGGTGGAAAGAAAGGGATATGGTTGGAGTTGGCTGAGTGATGGAGAACTTTTTTGTGGGGGTCGTGCATTACGTCAACGAATCATGGTTGCGGCTGGGGTTTGTCGTTGAAGAAATCCTGGGGAAGTAATGTCTCCAACATGACGATAGAAATCTTCGGTTACGATTGATGATTGGCATGGCAAATCGTGAATGGCAACTGCAGAGATACACGGAACTCGAATTCCCAATACCTTCTATCGCGTCTCGTGATGCAATCCTCGGCAGGCTGTGTATGGATGTTGCAACGGGGTACTGAAGAATGGCCGGTAGTTCTGATCCAAGACGCATACGGGTAAACAAGGATCCTCCTTCATGGAGTGCACATTCAAAGCCTAGCAAGATTGACAGGGAGCGATATCAATCGATTCAAGCTGAGCAACTCATAGCGTATGACCAGCTCACCTAAACACTTGTAGATGCGGGCAATGAATGCCGCAATGATTACTGACGCTAAAAACTTCTCCACTTTCTCTACACATTGGTGAAATCTCTTCCCCCAAAAAGTCTTCTGGCAGCGAAGAAGAAGACAGTTTCAAGCCGCCGCGGTGCAAAGATGAGTCCGCTTGAAGGGACAAGGTAAAAACGCAAAAAGAATAACCCGGAGAGTGGCTTTGCCAATCGCGGTGAGGATTTGAGCCTCACGCGGGGGTCGAACCCGCAACCTTGAGATTAAGAGTCTCACGCTCTACCGATTGAGCTAGCAAGGCGGGTCATTTGAATTGTTGAAGGTCGAGCTCAGTTTAGACTATACGTAGCCTTTTTCGCTCTCGCAATTAGTCCCCCCGGTGGCCCAGCGATCTCTTTGTCTCCAGTCCTGTTTCCGAAGCCTGGTTCCGTATTTCTTTTCTCAGTTCGCGCGAAAATCGTGACGTTTAGGAAGGAAGAGCTGGTCTGGGTTTATCTTCCCTCAAGCCTTCTGTAACGTACATCTAGGTGAAGCCAGAAATTAACTCTCTAGAACTGATGAATTTGATCCTTCCGATACCCCAACTGCTGCAACACCCCCGGCGCACTCCTCTTCCCCACAAGAGCCGCCTCCATCGCCGGCGGACCGCACACAAACACCTTTGTATCCTCCTTCTTCGGCGCAACCCCGACCTCCTCCAACAACTGCTTCGTCACATATCCCTTCCGGTACGGCGAATTCGCCACGGGGTGGCTAACCGTGTACACGGCCTTGAACCTGCCGGGGAACTCCTTCTCAAATTGCTCGAACTCCTGCTTTAAGAGCACGTCCTGGTCCGAGTTGACGCCAAAGACGAGCGTAATGGCGGTCTTGTCTTCGGGGTTGCGGAGGATGCCCTGCGCGAGCTGGTAGATTGGTGTGATGCCTGCACCGCCGGCGATGAGGGTGATGTGGCTGTAGGTGTTGGGCTTCCATTGATGGCCTTTGATGGCGAGGGCGAAGAGGAGCTTTTGGCCTGGTGTGAGGGAGTGGATGTGTGTGCTTTGCTTGCCGTCTGGGTACTTCTTTACCATCAGCTCGAGATAGCCGGCGTCATCTTTTTGTTTGGTCAGTAGCTGTTCGTACCCGGAGTGCAATGGATGGCCTTTGGGGGATTGTTCCTGTTCTTACCGAGGGGTTGCACGGGCGTGTAAGGCCTCGCGACGGGGAGCCACCTGCCCTCAGGCCATGACATGGTCAGGACAGCAGCTGTTCTCGGATATCAGCAACTTTCTTTCCTTGAAGCTCAGGTGACCGCAAACACTCACACGTCAATGAAAGACCGCTGACCGCCTCTCTCTGTGGTAACTTGAAGCGCAAGCGCTTGGTGTTGTGGTTCACATCCTCCGAGCTCTCCAACGCAAGCGACACAAACGCAGGCCCCGCCCCAAACACCTTTGGCGGCGCTCCAGACTCGGCAGACGCGCTGTTCACAAACAGCCTCGAGTACGCCGCCAGGCCAATGCCCCCAGCTGCGAAGGTAGCCGCAATGGTCGCCGGTCGCACACGGCGTAATGGTACTGATGCCATTCTTCAATTGACAAAAGATGATTTGTGTAGAGACGATATGCAGGTGTGCACTGATGCAAAATGATGTAAATAAAACACTGCTAGCTAAGCTACGCTATGGAATGCTGCAGGGCGATGGTAGTTTAAAAAGGGTTGCTGAAGCTGACGTAGGAAGACTTAGGAGGATTAGTCGGGCAAAATGCAGGCTCGGGACCGACGCGGGTTGGGGAAAGCACCGATGGTGGGGTCTTGCAGCCGGTATGATTTCGGTCATCCCCAAAAAGTCCGTCACCGATCGGACGATGTCAGCTTCAGCTTGCGTTTGCCCCATTTGGCCCATCAAGAACGGAACGAGGAGCGGTTCTCGTATACCTGCATGCAGGTACCAAAGATCAGGCGTTCGTCAAGGAATGTTGTTCTCTGTTCATTTGCGGCGTTGCGCCTCAATGCTGTGGCTTCAGCGGTGGTTTAAGCAGCTTTTATGCCGAGTGCACACAGGCTCTTCGTTCTGCAAGGTACCTGGCTCAATGATCGAATGCTTTCGACGTGTGGTGTCTCCAGCTACAGTGCGGTAAGTCCTATCTCGCAAAGACTGGACGAGATCAGCGGGCTTTGAAACGGTATCTCAATTGGATTCAGTCCGCATTGCCTCATGTCTCCTTGGATGGCCGATGGTTCAGCCCCTTTGTTGGTACGGCGCTCCGTACCTAGGTAGCTGAAGCTTCGGCGGGGCCGGACAACGGTGGCGGGGCACTGCGCAGGTGTCGTTGTTCGGCAATCAACGTTCCTTCTGGCAACAAAATCTGGCGTTGGCCAGAGCTTGCAAGCTAGCCATCATGCTTTTTATTGGTGCTACCTGAGAAGTGTTTGGTAAAGATTTGTGGGTAGAGAGAACAAGGTCGACAATGCACGCTGTTCTTGACCTCCCGCCTACAGGAACCCTCTTTTGTAGCGTCAAATTGCCTCGTAGTACTTACTGAAAATCACTGGACACTCTTGCGACACACCTGAAGTGCCAAAGTCGAAGCTCCTTTGCATTCATTCGTTTTAGAGAACGAAATGAGGAGAACGAAGCACTCAGCTCCTTGTCGATGCGCGTGGCTTCAAGGCATGGCTGTAGTACAGCAAGATAAAATGCCATCAGTAGCGATAGCTGGATATTGTTGAGCTGAACAGTTTTTGAACAAGATCGTTGGACAGAACATCTAAAAATCGTGATACGAAGCCCACAGCCTCATCTTCTGGGTATAAAACTACAGCTCTTAGGACTATTCTGACTTCCCATTTCGTGTCAACACCCTCATCCATCAAACAAAGTCAAGTCTTCGAAAGAACTAAGCTTCAACACATAATACTAGTAAGCTTTAGGATTCATCACACAGCTAGGAAATGGTGGAAAGTAGCGATGCTTACTATGTCACTTAGTCTCTTCGCTTTTGGCTCCTCAAGCTCGTCGATATCTCAGCATGTGCCCCTACAACTTAGTATACTGGCCGATATGCTGCGGGAGAAGATTGAAGTGCCGGCGGGACCATTGCCATTTCGCCCGCAACGACCCCCAAAATGTATGCCTCAATCCAGAGCTTGACCCTGAGCTAGTCACCCGAGATTTCCCATGCAATGAATGTATATTCTACGCAAGCCTCCAACAGATGGCACAATGGGTGCCCGACCCAGTCAAGAGAAAAAAGTTGGTCAGAGATGCCCCTTCGGCATTAGAAAAAGAACGACGAGATGCGTACTACGAGGCAATTCGAATACAGAAAAGGGCGGCGCGTACTGTTGTTTGTAAGCAGAAGAGAGAGGAGAGAAGAGAAAACGAGGCAGATCGGGCCGCAGCAGCGGCCGCGCCCAGAACGCCGACGCAGGCGGATTTCATGAACGTTGATGGAGCTAGCTCTTCCTCGCAAGGCGGAAATGCGTTTGGCAAGTAGCAGAAACAACCCACGTAGGCATTCTGCCACAGCGCCCCTTCTGGTGGCTGCTCCAACTTCACAGAAGGCCTCTCGCCTGACTCCACTCTAGCCTTTAGACACTGAAAGAAATCAGACCTCGTCGTCACCAACTTTCTGCGGCTTACGCGTGCTGTGACTACTCCTTTTGCTCTTGAACCAGAATGGGAATCATCGTCATTAGAGGAGCCTGGCTAGCAGTGGACTTACTCAATGTATGTCCAATCTTGATCAAGTCCACAGCCTAATTTCGTGAGGCATCATCCAGTCCTAGACGCGACGTGCTTTTCGAATGCAGAGTCTGAGGTTCTGTTCTGGTCAAATGAAGTGGGAGATCCAATGTCTCATGGATTTCAAGATATGCGGCTACTACATGAGCCCGGTCACACTATCATCTTTACCCAAGGTACTCTTAATTTAAACATGGACTTCAATGTCATTGATGTGTCACTCGACAGATCTGCAAGAACGCTGATAATTGTGTGGCTACCGTTCCAAATACTTCTGCGAATGAATTTCGAATCAACTCTCCAACAAGGCAATAACGTTAGTACTTTGGCAGGTTAGATACTGGTTATGCCGGGCCCTGAACAGCGGAGCCGAGGCACGGCCGGGTGGACCTACCGATGCACGGAGCTGGCGCCGGTGCCCGATATTTTGCCGCACTGACCAATGACATGATGGGGCAGGTAGCTGACTAAGAAGACTGGGCCCGAACTAAGATCAAGCAATGATGTTTTCAATCAACATTCTCCTGTGATGATCCTACCAGTGTCTCGATATTTCGACGGGGTTTTGCAGACTGTACATCAACATGTCGGTTCAGGAATATGCAGTAAGGCTATGTTTTCTGGCTTGCGAGAGGAGAGCTCTACTGACCGTATCTAAAGGTCAATGAATACACCGCCAATGCGCAACCTCACTTCAACTTGCTGAGGATATTGGGCGGATGGGGCAACGTCAAG